TCCAGCCTTTTCTCAGCATCAGTCTGGGCAAGTCAGAGAATTCAAGGAATCAGCAAAATAGATGAATCAAAGAAATTAAAAGAAGTCAGTTTGTCAACTGTGACAACAACTCCTGCAGCAAGCAGGAAAAAGAAGGCATTGCATATTTCCCTCTAGACTTGATTATTTTGTATTCCCGAAATACATTCTCTATGTTTTTAAATATAAATAACGTTTATCTAAAAATGGTCTTCATATGGTAGGCAGGCTGAAAAAACCCCACATCTGTAATGCCACTGTGTGAAAGAGCAGGGAAGGGTAGATGAAGAAACTGGTGATTTTACTGCTGCTGTAAACCAAATAGCTTTTAGTTAGGGCACCTGCTTGAAATAAATCTAAACAAACTGAACCATATGAGACTGATAACCTGAACACCTAGTGGGATTTTTAAAATGGCTCAGTTAAATGCCTGAAAATGGGGATTTAGAATGAAAACTCAGATAGAATCTCAGCACTGCTATAATACAAGTAAATACAGGTATTATGAAAATGCTTTCAGTATTCAGAACCTGCAATTCCCAAAATGAATGCAGGATTTCTGTGATCACTAGAGCAAGACAGCAAAGGTAATTCACTCCTGGCACATGAACTAAATGCTAAACCTGGCCTGGTAGAGTTCAGCCAAAGAAATGAAAAAAACCAAAGGGGTGCAATGTAATCTTGGTTCAGATTAATGACTTCAACTGAGTGAGCAAGTACAGATGCAGCAAAACCCTGCCAGATGGATGCAGTTAGAAGAGAAGAAATAGATTCTTTCTCTAGAGGTCTGAAAAATAAGTGAATAAGTTAGTGATGAGAAGTACCTGCTTAGAGTACAGAAAATGATTTTGTTCTGCTCTCAGTGGGTTTTGTTAGATTACACAAGGTTCGAGTAACATTTACAGTGAAACTACCAAGATTTAAAAAACAATGACATAAATAAATGCAAGACCTGTATCTGAATGCTGTGCTGCTGTCTTAGGCCTATATGAATGGTACCAGACTGAAGTTGTTCATAAGGTTCTTTGTGCCTGCAAACCACTGAAAGTCTGTTTGAGCCTCTGGGGTTCTTTTTCCTTACAAGTACAGTAATAACACATAGCCTATCAAAATGTTTCAGAACAGGTCTTATAGAGTCCTTATCAAAGAATTAACAAAAATGCATAGAAGACTTCAAGTTCAGTGCTTCTCCTTTAGGCAAGAAGTTATTCTTGTCAGTTCTGGTTCACCAAGACATATGAATAATTGTCCACGTCAGATATACAATCACTTATGGTTTAAATGAATGTAGATCACTAAAAAAATTGCATATCTTTAAAAATAAAAAGATACAGAGATGTTACCTTTGTGTTTGTTCAGAAGTTTATAACCTTCACAATATCTGCCTCTGGATGTAGTCATCCTGGCAGTATTTACATAGGAATACGTGGCAGCGAAATCAAATTCCTCTTTCCCATCCCACCAGCCATTGCTTTTGGCATATTCCTTCAGTTCTGGGTGTTCTCTGTCAATCTTGGTCGTGATAGAGAGCTGGTTGGAAATATTCCGTACACCTCCTGTAAGTTGAAGAAAGAATTGTTTTAAGACTTTGGTTTTTCTTAGTATTTTGTTTACAATTAGCTTACTTGAGCAAATGAGCACTGAAGAGTTTCCTACAAGATCTGTGCGTTGATTTTGGCTCTCTCTCCCTAGCTATGTGCATCCTTCTGATTGAAATTCCACTGCCACTCAGTTCTGACCTGTTTGCTTCTATTGCCAACATTGTACTTCAGGTTCTGCCCTGATTATTTCCATCTTTACATTCTTCCTCTTAAACCTGAACCAGCCACTTCAGGGTCCAATACATCAGTCCTGTCACCAAATGAAATTGCCACTGATTGCCACAATCCTTAAGACCATACATATTGCTGTCATTCTTTTGCTGACCTTGCTGTCCTCTGTTTTTCAAGTGCAGAAGTGGTTATCTCTGACTCTGAAAAGGCTCTCTGTGACTCATCTCCTCTGTGAAACTGCTGGCCATTCCACACTCATGCCCTAGGAAGCAGTTCCTGTTGTTTACAGGCACATGTATGTAGCTGGAGGTTAGTTTGATGCCTTAAAGAAATGGTAAATGGAAACTGGAAAACTGCTGATTGTCATTGCATCTGAAATGTTTAAAACAAAGAGCATCGTCCATACCTTCTACTTTTTCTGCTGCCCAGTATTTTCCTGATGTCTCCAGCACCCATGCTTCCTTTCTGTCGGCTATTAGAAAACTGTTATGGTATGTAAATACCATTTGGCTCTCCATACAGTTTCCTCCCTGTCCATATTTTTCCAGCAAATCAACTATGACAGTAAGAGCCTTTTCAGCTGTGTCTGCTCTCTCCAGTCCAAGCCTAAAACAAAAGGAAGATGTTATCTTTGGAACTATAAACTCCACAAACAACTATTCAGCCTGAAATTGACCTGAAATGCTATTTCTATATGTACCTGACTTGGATAATCTGGTAAGAGAAAGAAGCAAGTCACTTAAAGAGCTTCTTTGAAGTGGGCCCTCCATGTACTTGACATGGGGAAAAACACCAAATGGAAATACAGACAGGCAGGGAGAGGGTTCCTAGGAAATACCTGCAAGTCCTGTGTGGGTACTGGACTGGGGGGAAACAGCACCAAGAAGAATTTACTGACTGCTGTATGTTAATGAGAGTTACACTGGCACCCAGCAGGGTAGGCACATGAAGCTGTTGCTATTTGCAAGGAGATGCACAGCTGAAACTGAAACTCAAAAATATATATGTGAAAGAGGGGCAGAAATAGGGAATGGGTACAGATCCTAGAAGGCGGCCCAAACATTAGTTCCTGAAGTCTGCCTGTGCTTCTAAAACATTTGCTAATTTCCTTGACAGATTCCGGTCTAGTGCCTGACACCTCTCATAGGCTCCAGGCAGAGATCTAATGCCTGTGGCAAATAAATATTTGTTTCTAACCATGGCTAGAACAGTGGAAGAACTGTCTTCTGAAAGTGAAAACACATTATTTCCTCACATAACTCAAACCAAATCATAGAATCATAAAATTTTAGGGGTTGGAATGGACCTTACAGAGCATCTAGTCCCAACTCCCTGCCATGGGCAGGGACATCTCCCACTGGGTCAGGTTGCTCAAGGCTTCATCCAGCCTGGCTTTGAATATTGGCAAAGTTGGGGCATCCACTACTTCCCTGAGCAACCTGTGCCAGTGTCTCACCACCCTCGCAGTAAAAAACCTTTTCCTAATATCTAGCCCGAATTTCCTCTCCTTCAATTTGAACTCGTTACCCCTTGTCCTATCACTCTAGTTGCTATCACACAGTCCTATCACTGCAGATAAACAATGTTTCCACGTTAAATTCTAAATCCAATATCACTCGCTATAAAAAAGCCCGCGCAAACCTGACGAGGTCCATGCCAAGGAGAGCTTCCCTATCGCAGACCTCTTCCTTGCCCCACACCGCTTCGTTCCCGATGCACACGCCGTGCTCGTTGGCTCCCATCTCCGCCCCCCAGAGCCAGGAGGGGCGGCTCAGCACCACCGCGTGAGTCCTCTCCACCTGCTCGATGCTGATGTAGGTGCACTGCAAGAGGCGAGAGCACACGGGTCACCGCTCGCACCGCCGGGT